ATTGTACAGTGGCATTAAGTGCTGAAATGTGCACCTCTGCCTACCCCTTCGGGGATAAAAAGGCGTGATGTTATGATGTTATGTATATAATGCGGAAAAGTTTGTTTTTTTGTTTGTTTATTTGATCGCGCTAATCTCCGTAACTACAAGTGTGATTTGGATAATTCTTTTTGTGTTGGATAGCGCATTTTTCGAGGATGGCTATAGGCTATAAAACATCACGCTACGACCAATAGGAGCTTAGCAGAGCGTGTGAAACCGCGCGGAAGTAGCTAGTACCTATATATATAGTGAAATATTATTTTCGTTATGGCCCAAGGGGAAAGGCAGATGTTTACTATATTATATACTGTCTATGTCCGAAAAAAAATTACCATTATCTCCACATTTGGCCGATAGACTTGAAGATTACGCTGCTTGTCTTTGCCCTTAACTAATAACATAACAAAGAGGTAAAACTAAGAACCATCAATCCACCATCATCGACAGCCTGTAAGTGCCCACTGCTGACCATAGGCGTCTTCTCAGACGGAGAAGGTTTGAATATAAATCACCACGCTTGCTCAATACCGGTTGACGATTTCAAACTTATAATTAGAGATTATAAGCCCAGTTTATTTAGTGGTGTCTAAATAATCTTAAAAAGTATCTACTTATACGTCGGAAAAAGTCAAATTGGTACTTGCCGTTGGTAGGTTTCGAACCCGCACCATCATGCATGAGAAGTGGGTGTCATAAACCACAACGACACCAGGGACTCATTACAATATTTATTTACTCTATTAAACTGTCAGACACCGCGAGGACACCGGTGTCCGTACACTATTGTTCTTTAATTCGTCGAGTACCGTCATTATAGACACAATTATAGAACAATAGGTTGCGGTCACCGGTGACCGCTCGGTGTTTGACAGTTTAATTGTGTCTATAATGACGGTACTCAAAGGTTAAAAGACATAATTCTATGTATAAAGTGACAAACAATAAAAACATAAGAACTATAAATAGGCGTGGTCAGCGGACGATCGGAAGTCAAGCGTTTTTGCAAGCTTCCGAACGGACGAGCGAAAATTGATTCATTCAATCTTTTTTATTTCTATTTTCACGCTAATGCGTTTTTGTTTAATCGAGGGGACCAGAAAGCTAATGGACAAAATATTTGGTGACAGGTTGCTACCTATATTTTGGTGAGTTCGTACTTTTCATTCATAAATCATAAAATAGCTATTTGTTTACAATCAAATGTTTTGACATGATGAATGGTTGAGACTGACATTTTGTTTTATATTTTTTGTTAATATTTGTGTATTTCTTTTGATAATATACCATTAAACATTATATAATGTAGGCATATTGTCACGCCATTTTCCCATCAGACTAAGTAGATGCTTAGCTTACGATGTAATAACACTTTATTCAAATAAAAAAGAACCGATAACACGAAAAACGAAAAGCAATGAAGAGACCAAAAACACAACATTTTTTTTAAGGGAGAACACCATCGAATTGCTGGTCCCGCCTGGATGAGACAAGAGGGAGTATCAGACTCTTACTGACTAAAAACCACCCCGTTCCTTTTCCTACACGTCGAGCCGGAGCCCTGGTAACCCGTTAGGTTCTCTGCGACTCCGTAACGACATCAGCCCTATTGGGCCCCATCCGTGGTGGTCTGATGGCTCTTTGAGGCGCGCGCGGAACACGACGCGCCGTACGCTCGGGTCTAGTTCTGGTCGGGCGGCGAGTCACCCATGCTCGCCGTCCACAGGCCCGCGCTTACGGTGGCTGGTAATGGTATACACTACAATAACTTTACATAAAAAGACAAAATTCTAGAGATGTTTTTAAAAATCTTTTCTAATATTCGCGTCTTAAAGGTATTGGGTAGGGAAAAGTTAATAAATAAAGGACAGTTACGCTCCGTAAATAAATTGCTTTTAGTTACGGACTACAGTGATTGCACGCAAATTGGAGCGAGCTCCCAAATCCAGTACTATAAAAACTTTTTTTATTTCCTTTAGGTACCTAAGATAAATAAATATAGGATGTGGCCACATTATCGGGGGAGGATAAAAATTTAATTTGACTCGACTTAAGGTCGGAGTCCCTATTACTCGCCCTCCCCAGTTTCTCCAAACCCCGCATCCCCCACAATCGTCAAATTCACAATTCCCAAAAGGCCGGTAACGCACTTGTAACGCCTCTGGTGTTTCGGGTGTCTATGGGAGGCGCCGATTGCTTACCATCAAGTGATCCGTCTGCTCGTTTACCGGAAGATTTTGAATGTTGTTTTTAGCTATTTTTGCATCCTCCAGACATATGATGAGGGCAGAAGCACACTCAATCATCATCATGTCATCAATCTTACAATTTGAGCGGATGTCGTAACCGACTAAGGTACTGCACATCAATTTGACAAAGTTCAGGCAGAAACACTCTCTGGCCAAGTGGACCATTATAGCCATTTCTCTTAAATGTAGAAGAGGCCTATAGTCTAACAGTGGACGGTCTACTATTGATTTGCTTTACAAATGTTCAAATTCATCGCAAATCCACTATCACCGAAGTCTAGAAATACACTTGCAACTCCTGCTGATGTCAGTGGACAGCGATTGCGTACCGTTCGCTCAAGTGATCCATTTGTTCGTTTGCCGCATAACAACATAATATTCTTTTATCCCCGAAGGGATTTTTTTTTTTTTAAGGGGGGAAAATCATCGAATGACTGCTCCCGCCTGGGTGAGGCGGGAGGGAGTGTCAGACTCTTACTGACTAAAAACCACCCCGTTCCTTCTCCTGTACGTCGAGCCGGAGCCCCGGTTACCCGTTAGGTTCTCCGCGACATCCCCGAAGGGATAGGTAGAGGTGCACACAGACGTAACACCTACTTTTCACTATTTATGAGTCCCATGTAATTGGGAGTGAGTCTATTGCCATGTACCGGGCACAATTCCAGACTCCGTGCTAGTACTGAGATTTTTTTTAAAACCCAGGAATACTCTGCCCGACCCGGGATTTGAACCCGAAACTCCTTGCCCGGCAGTCGCACTTTCGACCACTCGGCCTACGAGGCAGCCGCGTTATCATGATCGAATATATCGCGCGAATGTTCTGCGATAGTGTGGCACCAGCATTATTATAATATCCTGTAGGTTTATCCTTTTCGTGATTTGTTTTGTTTCGCTTTCCTTTTGTTTGCCTCAATTTTTACCGTTAGCTTCATTTGGTTGAGTTACTGTTGATTTATTGGTTACATTTACTTTGTTTCATTAAGTAATCGATCAAAATAATATAAGATTCGGCTTTCTTATATAAGTAATTCTTGGGTGCTATTTCTTGACTTTCCCGTTGAATTTTTATCCTTACAATAATGACAATTATAGAAAGGGAACTTTCAAATTCTGTGAAGC